TGGACTAGATGACCCACAGAGGTCCCATCCAACCCGTACCATTCTGTGATTCTGTGATTCTGTGATATGTATGTGTCTGAGTGTGTATTGCTTTTGAGCGTGTATTTAATGAGCTGACTTTTAATTCCTGATTGATCTGGAAATGGATACTTGCCAACATGGCAAAGATCCCAACTCCATCCAGAGACAGTGTGCCAACTCCATGCTTCTGAATACGGTTTTAAAACCAGTTGCTTAAAATCTGCAGCACTGACAGTAATGTTTACCAAAAGTTCCTTGTGAGCAATGTGTGTGTAAGAGGTATGGATCATCAGTTAGTACAGGCAAGTGTTATCTGCAAATAAGGTGTGAGCAATAAAATTCTGTTCTAACTTGAGGCAAGTGTAAGACTTCTGATAGTATTGTCTTTATTTGGGGAGATATCTAAGGCTTTGCTTCACTGAAACATACCTCTAAATTTGGCATAAGCTATTTTAGAAAATATTCAGCATTCTTCATTTTAATTGCTCCTATTTTTCTCATCCATCTGTAAAGTTGGATTTCCACTGTTGCCATGAGTCACAGTAACTAAAGGAAACCAACTGTTCAGCTACTGCAAAGCAGGAAGCGAAACAGTATTTTAAAAACAAAAAGTAGACATTAGTAAGGTCTAATACCTAGTATCAATGGCTTTTGACATAAGCAAGAGTACTTTATGCAAACCTTATGTTGCCTGTGGTCAATATACAGTCATCAACATTGAAAATTAAAATGCTGTGATCTATTTCATGACTTTATAATCTTTCAGTAACTGCAGAAATGAAAATATCCTATGTCATTACTGTATTGCTGTATGATGTATGACACTAATCATGTAATTAAAGCACTATGAACTGCTCTCAGGATTTCTGAATTCTTACGGGCTGCCTAATAAGGCAAACTGGCGAATTGCTGAGCTGTAGCCTGCAAATTTAGGACCTTGATGCAATATTGGCAGTCTTTCTTTTATTTTTTTCCTTCTTTTTTTTTTTTTTTTCTTTTTTTTAATCCTGTTGCATGGTTGCAGCTAAAAATACTGTTTATTTCACACCAGGAAGAGACATGCAGTGTTCCAATATTTGGGGTCATGTTCTTACACTGTCATGATGTTTACAGGATAGTTGGCCCTGAATAACAACTTTCTCATCACTGTTCACTGGAGTAGAAAATTTAAACAGTAGCCTAGTCTTTGTATGAGCCATGGTACAACAGTTATTGAAAGCGTGGACATAAAGACCTCCATATATTACTCAGCTAGTATTTCATGAGCATATAATCTCTGATACAAAATGTGCTTTCTTTTTGGTTGACAAAAATACTTGTGAGAGAGGGGGGGATTATTACAGAATCCTCCCTGGACATTTCAGCCAGCTGCGCACAAAATGAAACCAGCTTAAAGACATAAACAGGCAGGCAACAAGCTGATCCAGAGTCCTTGGTCTCTGAGGGGGTGAAATAAACAATGTCAGACTTGTGTAATTTCACCAATCAACCCATTTAAAAACAAAGTCTATGCTTTATCTAATAATTCCTCTATCTCACTCTATTTAAGTGCAGCCACGTTCTTATCACCTAGCATCTGTACATATTGTCTTGTTAACAATAGCTTCTTTTTTCATCTAAGTTCTTAAGTCTTCCGTTTTTCCCCCCTCCCCTCTTTTGAAAGTGGGTGGCTGCTATGGTAACTCTGAATTCCCTTTCTGCTGAAAGTACAGTCTTTTTCAACAAATTGCAATTGTATGGCTAATATTTAGACCTCTCTGTAATGTTTGCCTCCCATTACTCTCAGTACCTATCAAGAAAGACTTAGCAATGGAAATGTTGAATGGCAGCACTATGGTTAGGCATTTTCTCTACCCTGTTCCAAACACAGACACTTTCAAGGGTGCATAACCTGTCTTCTTCAGACTTTTAGGTTTATTTTTCCCAGCATACCAGAGCCTTCAAAATTAACTACTGTAAATCTATCCCAAAATCTGTAACCAAGCTGGCTGCTACCTGGATTTCTCCTTAGGTGTCTTCCCAGCTGTCTTAGATCTTTTGTTTTTGCTGGAGTTGGGTTAATAAATTGACTGCGTCTGCTTTCACTTCTTAGCAGCATTGCAATTCACCCTTTCTCAGCTGGAAAACATCTGCTAACATAGGTATTAAGGCAGACCTGCAAGTTTATTAAATAGAATACAATTGTATAAGCCACATTTTGCCATGTGTAAACTGACACAATCTGGACAATTAGAGGTATATTTTGAAGCAGCAAAGTGTGCACATACTTGTTTTTTTTCACAAATGATACACAGAATCAAGAAGTCGTGAGTTTTTTGGTAGGATTTCAAAGTGGTATATGAAGGTTTAGTCAGTCTATTCCCATGGTTTTAAATACGAGACTTGTGGCTAACATTTGTTGGATTTGCAGTGATAGAGGAGCAGGTTTAATGTCTTGATAATTGTCATAGCCCTTAGGTTTGTAGGCTGCTTTTGTTGCTTTGTACTGCGAACCCTTGGCCTCACTTATGGCCTCAGGCAGGGCTAGCAGGAAAGGCTGACAATTTTTTCCTCTCTGCCTAGGTTTTGTTGGGCCCATGATCACCTTTTCTGCAAGGTTCTTGCTCTTGACGCTCTGCTATATCGCCTTTGCTGTTTACTGGGTTTATAAGTCACTGGGAAAAGACAGCAAGGCAGTCTGGGTCACACTACTGGCAACTGGTGACATTCTGCTCACTGTCTCTGCTTCTTCCAGTCTTTAGGTGTAGGCCTCGTCTCACCTCTCCTTTGTCTTGTTTGGCTTCTGCTCAATAGGCAACTGGTGGAGGCAAGACAGGCCTCTTTTTGATAGGCTTTAGGGAGTGTTCAGGAAGAAAAAGAGTAGCAAAGTCACCTTACTGAGTCAGCTTTGGTGTCCATTTTTTGTTAGGAAATTGGAGAACTGAAGGATTCTTTTGGCTGCTTTTCAGGGGCAGTGTTAGGAAAGTGGAATTTCTGTTTTGGTGTCTGGTGCTGCAAGTAAAAGTATCCCTTAATACTGATTGTGCAGCATATATCATGGGCTTCATATTTTAGGTATATTAGTTACTTTCAGGCTGGATAGTGAAATAACATTAAAATTTCATCCAGGGTTTTATCTAAAGACCTCTAGATATTTGTCAGTCAGTTCTTCATTACAATTCAGTTGTTCAAGATAACCTCTGTAGACTGAATCAGCTTTAATTAATATTTGGATGTATCTTACAGTCCTGATTACATTGAAGGATACCTCTTTCCTTCTGCAGCTCATAGTGGGAAACTTAATAGTAAGGTCCAGAATATCTAGAGCTTTCTCTTCCTTTTGCCAACCCAGACCCCTGGCTTTGAAAGCTAGTTTTTGTCTAGGGTCATCAATATTTACTGCAAAGCTTACGGAGAAAGCTGGAGGAGGCTTCAAAAGCACTAATCTTCCATGGGTAGTTGCAGAAAGGCCCAGATGATTTGAGAATATGACTGTGGTTTGATCTAGAAATAATTTCACCCAATAATTATTGATGAAGTGGAAGAGCTTTTAGGTTATCAAACAAGAATCTAACTAAACATTGAACCTTTTTATAGACTGCCATCCACTATAGCCCACTACTTTTTCAGCTTTTTGATCTCTGAGTATCTCTTGTCTTGTAGGTATGATGAATAGTCAAAGTTGTGCATTCCTCAGGTGGGACATCTATAGCATTACTTATATTACTTGAATAGTTCAAGATTCTTTCTTTAATGATGACACATTGTAAAAACAAAACAAAACATGAGATAGTTTATATTTTGAGCATTGCCTGGGATAGGTGCCTGTACAATGATTCCTTCCTCTTTCTACTTGTTGCTTCATGAGTCATTATTGTCTGCCCACTAACAGACTGGTCTCTCTCTTTGTTAGTTCCCCAGGCCATCTGCTTCAGGGAGGACTGAAACAGCAAGTGCAGAGGGGATCTTCCTACCCACATCCCTGGGCCTCAGGCTAATGAAAACAGTTAAAAAAATTAAACTACCTCCTGGCTGGTGCACCCAGGCTGATGACTGTCTCCACTCTAACTAAAATGTGACTCTGAGACCTGTTACGTGTGTGTTTCTGTGCATAGATCTTTGTTGGCTGAACATAAAGATAGCTGAAAGAAGATGACTAGGAAGAGTTTGCAGCATAAACCAGGAAGCCACTTTGTCCAGCACTTGAAATACAACTCCTGTTCTTCTCTTATGTGTTTTGAAATTATTCTAGCTTGCACTAGACTTAGAACATATTTCACGAGTCAGACTTGCAACATTACACTTTTGAAAGCTTTCCCAGTACAAGCTAAGTGCCAATGCTATGGTTATTCCCTGTGTTATGACCTGAGACGGTCATGTCGGAAACCTCACAGGTAACTTTGTCTTCGGGTGGTGTTGGTGATGATTCTGACTCTTTCAAATACATATTTTCTTTCAATTTAAGATGTTCTCTGAAGGCTTCACTTTCAGCATCTTGAAGCCTGAAGGTCAAATGTTTGTGTTTTCCTGAAAATCTAGTAAATATTGGTATATAGGATGATCAGATAACATCCACCTTCTTACATGACTCTCTGCCAGTGTCTGCTTGCTGATATCACCTTTATATCTTTTCATATTAAAACCTTATTTCAGGAAAAAGGAAAAGCAATAGCAGAAGTTCTTCAAGAGAAGATTCACCGCTGATCTGATGTTGCAGGAGAATGTGCAGCCTGCAAAATTAGTCCTAACTACTGTATCAATCCTTAACCTTACATACAAAATCAGTGCTGTTGGTCTTGCTGTTGACTAATTTAAATGAATTCTTTAATCATATTGCTCCTCTCCCAATTTCTGTTCTTAAAAGGAGCTGAGATGGACTTGTTCAGTAGCTTCTTTAGCAATGTAAAAATTTGTATTGTCATTCATTCTCACTAATGTTTTAGATCACTGAGCTATTTTCCTTTGTTGATACTGAATTTAATATTTATGAACAGTAAGAGAAGAAAAATCCTGTTATCTTTTCAAGATGTTTATTCTTTGTCAATTACTGACTATGCCGGTTTATAGCTTTCCTTCCAGAATCAAGAAAAAAACAACTGCTTAATTGCATTTTATTCTTAGTGCAAATCAGATCTTTGACTGAGTTGGCTGTGTTAATATATTGTACTAGAGCTGCAAAAAGTCAAGTTTAAAAATGAATATCTATGAATCTTGCCTTGGAAGAGTGTACATTTGCTATGTAGAGTTTTGCAAGTATACAGAGTTTTCTCCACACTGTTGCAGGAAAAGTTTACCCTGCTTCTGTTGATTCTTCAATAATATTTTAATATAATACTATTCTTAACATCAGTGGTGTCTGTCCTTTAAAGAAAAGATAGAAATGGTACTTGCGCTGGCAGTACCCTCAGGTTGTTTTGAATAATGGACTAGGCATGATAATCTTGACTGCATATATAAGAAGGGACTTGGCAAATGGAGGTCTTTATTACTCACTGCAGTTGTTTCTGCTCCCTCAGTGCTTTGTCTGAGTAGGAATCTGAAGGACGTGCTTGATTGTAAGAAGATTCTGAGAATTTTCTGCAGAGCACTGTTCAGTTTAACTTTGTATTAAAAACATTGAAGTTTGACTGAAGTACTGCAGAATCAAGGATTTGTATTATAATGTGTTTTGACTTCATAAAAATTGAGATCATCTTCTTGGAGGATGATCAGGTGTTATAGGTAACTTAAATATATCACCAAGACCTGCCTTAAACAAGCTACACTCTTTTTGAGTTGATTTTTTCCTTCTCAGTAGTCATTTTGATTTAAGATGCCACAAAATAGAATTAAATGCAGGATAGCTTCCTGCCAACTTGCTTGTGTCAACTTCACCCAAACTCTATTTGAAATTTGGTGATCTTGCTGCATATTCAAAATAATAGAATGTTTTCCTTGGCACCAGGTGTTCTAACATGTAGTGTGAATGTGGATAGTGGTGGTAGTATCCAGGAGTACAATGAGACTCACTAAAATAAAGGGTTGCTGAGTAACTCGGTGTACACTGCTGTCTGTAGCTTGAAGAAAACCAATGGGGCTAAAAAGCTGGAAATTAGAGTTGCAGTTTTCTTATGAGCAAGAGTGACTCACTGAATAGAACCTGCAGAAATATACGGAGCTAAGATAAAAGGATAGTCAGCAAAGGGACAAATGCTACTTCTGAAATGGTCTAGAAAGAAGAGAGGAGAAATATGGTTTGGAGATACACCCCAAAACTTTTTTCTAAACCTTTACTCTGTCTGCATTAGTTGAAAGCTTGTGGCTAGTTTGCTGTTCATCACATAAGGTACACTGAAGATGTATGTGTTGCAGTACTCTGCTGTGATTTTAAGCTTAAGCTGTGATTCATCCTCTAAACCACGGATCTTTCTCTAGTGTTTTGAAGAAAATTACTGTCAGATGTTGCTTTTTTCAGACAAGCTCTGACCACTACTTCCTTCACTTAATTTATTGCAACTGTAACCATGCTTCCTAAACTTCTTCTTGCCTGGATTATTGCAGCACTTCATAACTGATTAATCACTATATTCAGCTGAAGTTGCAGACAGTAAAAAAAAACCTGAAAGACTGCCATTTGTTGGCCGAAAAGGTACTGGTTCTTCAATGCAGATTCGTTGGTTTCCCTTTGCAATTCGAAGTGCTGACATTACACACTTAGAGTCTCTAGTGAAATTCCATAGAAATATTTACATTCTTAATCTAAAAACTTCATCTCTGTCTAAATGTCAATGTTTTAGGGATTTCAGTGGTTTAATTGCAGAAACATATTCTGCAGAATTTTTTCTCAAAAATCTTGTCAGTTGAAGTATGATTTTTTAGGGCATAGCTTTCAAGCAGTCTTAATGCAAAGGTTCAAGAGAATGGAAATTCAAACATGTGGTATTCATTTCTTCCATTGGCCCATCAGAGCTTGGAAAAAAAGTGCTGGCTTAAGCCTAGGAGTCACTAATGCAGCCTTAGGGCAGATGAGCTGCTCTGTCATCAGGCAGTGCTTTTAATTCAGTAGTATTGCACAGGGAGAGTAAGGCTGCAAGCAGAGCAGATTGATTTCTTGGAGTTTGGTGCATAAAAGTTTCTGCATTTAGGTTGGTTTGTGTGCTGGGGGAGATTGGTACTAAACATCCTCAGTCATCATCTGTGAAGTACAGGGGTGTATTGGCTCAGCACTGGTTGAAACTATTACACATTATTTATGAAAGCAGATGCTGGCATTTAGTTCAGTTTTCACTGCTTTTTGACAAATCTCTAGTTAATCACACAGAAAAGTTGTGTATGAGGAAGTAAGGCATTTGCTAATAAAAACAAAGCTTTGATGTAGTCCCTTTCAGGGTAAAGATCTTTTTCTACTATTGTCAACACTGTGCAGTGAACAATCAGTCTCTTTACCTCTCTGCATAAATAAATACATAGATTGTGAGTAATAGGATAGGATTGTCTAATATGCCGGTTCTTTTGGGGACTTTTCAGGTTCACATAAAATGTAATTTTGCTGTATGGTCTCATTCTTTTTCTATGTCCCTGGGAAAATAGTGTGATGACTTTATCTGTGCTCTACTTTTTTGTAGAAAAAACAAAAAAAAGAGCCAAATACACATAGTCTATTCAGCAAAATGTAGAGATCTTATTCACCAATTAGTGTGAAATATCCATCAGTCTTATACTTTCTTCCTTTCTAATTTTCAGATGTATATCACCAACACAGTAAAAGCCAGAGGAACAAGGCTTGCAAAACCTGTTCTGTGTTTGGGCTTAATGTGCTTGGCTTTCCTTACTGGAATCAACAGAGTAGCAGAGTATCGAAATCACTGGTCAGATGTAATAGCAGGATTTATAATCGGAATATCTATAGCAGTATTTTTGGTAAGTGTACATCTGTGTCACTTCTGTTTGAAAAAAATCAGTGTAAAACTTTGTATCTCTTAAAAAAGATATTGGTAGCCGTGACTTTTCGGACAACTAAATGACAAAAGAGGGGTTTCGATTTTTTTTAATTAATTATCATTTTCCTTAGTTTTATTTACATACAGTCAGAAATGTCAAGTCAAGAAAGGAATGATCAAATGATCTCTTTTGACTTCCTTGTAAACCAGATTGTTGCCTTTCAAAATAATTTTTGCATCAAGCCCCACTTTAAGCATGTATATATCCTTTAGAATAACATCTGGTTATGATTTCGTGTACAGAATATTAAATTCAGTATAGTGATACCTACACTGATCAGAGAATAAGTAGCATTTCTTTTCCAGCTTTAAAGTAACCCTACTGAATTTCTTCCATGCTAATTCAAGTTTACATTGAAATTTTATGTTATTCTGTGTCAAAAAATCCTTGTTTAGCCTTTTGCTTTTCTGGAACTGTGTTCCAAAACCAGATTGTTAGTCACAGCTCACAATGACTAGCGTCCGTGTCAGAAAGATGCCGCTAATCTATTAATCACTTTCACTGACAACTTCAGTGGAAGACTATGGCGTAGAATAGTCACTGCTGTTTACTGCCTGCAAGTTTGTCTGCCTGGCACTTTGTAATAGTACTAAATACACCTTTGATTTTTTTCCCCATGAAAACATTTTGAGCTTGATTCTTGGATCTCAAGGTCTTGATCTCAAGATCTGGGATGTGAAGCCTTGGTTTGGCTGAGAACTCTCACAGGGGTAGCTGAGGTGGGTGCTTTCACTCCTCTGAAGGACCGCTTTAGGTCTCCTGTAAAATATACCTGCTTGCACTTCCGAATGTTCCCTTCCACACAAGGTATCCGGGAGTTATGTATGGTTGTTCATTGTTAAGAAGTTTTTCCATTCTGTTTGTGCTCCTATAGTCATAAACCAGAACATAATAGAAAAGAAATCTGTCCTAGCATTTTTTCTTATATTTTGTTTTGTATATTGCATAAACTTTGAGCAGCATGACACCAAATTTAGTGGTGTTTTGAAGAAAATACAAAGGGCAAACATTGCTGTTTGGCTGAGTGACTGAATTAGTAGAAACACTAACAAACTGGTATGTGTCACATTCCTAAATCCCTGTGTGAGTCTCACTGCTGCCCTGAGCAGGTTTAGAGTTTAGTTCAAACTTGGGGATGGTCTTTGCCTGCTTATTCTCCCTTTCTCACTCTCCATTTGAGAAAGTCTGCTGGTCAAAACCTGGATGGTACTGGCCTTTCATAGGAATTTAAGGTTATTGCCATATTCTCCTGCATGTGCTCTGGACATCTATTCATGACCTGGATAAATGCCAGGTGCCCACCAAAACTGCTGTATCACTCCCCCCTCCTCAGTTGGACAGGGGAGAGGAAATAGGATGAAAGGCTCGAGGGTCGAGACAAGGACAGGGAGAGATTAATCACCAATTACTGTCATGGGCAAAACATGGACTGAACAATGTGAAGAGAGCGGAATAATTGTGGAGAATTATTTTGTTGTTGTTGTAATTGTGGTGAAGGGATGAGGGGCGGATTGTGTGTAAATTATCCACTTCTGTTTGGTGCTGTGATGATGTTATTTTGATTTTGGTGAGAGAAAGTATTATTTTGTTAAAGTGGCTGAAGTTTGTGAAGATTGTGTGATGAATGTGGATTTTAATGATATTCTTAAATATGTGATTCACAGAGGCAAGGGGTGGAATGTTATGGATTTGCATGGCAAGGTTTTGGTAGTGTGGGGGCTGTAGGGGTGGCTTCTGTGAGAAGCTGTGAGAAGCTTGCCCTATGTCTGATAAAGCCAGTGCCGGCCGGCTCCAAGACGGACCCGCCGCCGGCCAAAGGTAAGCCAATCAGCAACGATATTCTATTATTCAGCTTTGGTCATGGATTTGCTTTTAGATAAGAGGGTTTTTTCGTTCTGAGATGATGCATGTAACAATAAATTGATTGGAAATCTATTGTCTTGAAATATTAATTAAGGATTTTCTGTAAAACATGAACTTCATATTTCTGTGTTTCTACTGTAAGCTGTGACTAAAGCTGGTGTCAGGTCTGCCTAATTATGCATGTCAAGATCAAAGCTCAAAAAAATGAATTATTCCTTAGCTATTCTGTTTCTCTTCTAATCCCTTCTAGGTTGTTTGTGTGGTAAATAACTTCAGAGGACGTCAGCCAGAACATGAACATTCTCATATGGATAATCTGGCCCAGATGCCTAGGATCAGCATACCCCGAGTAGAAAGCCCTTTAGAAAAGGTAACGTCTGACTTGTTTTTAAAAACAATTAAATAAAATCTAGCTTTCCTGGAAGGATGATCCCAAACTATCTTGACAACAGTGCCAAGGTAATCAGATTTAAAGTAAGGAGTCATGGCAGTGAAGGAGAAAGAAGGGAAGAGTTAATTCAGAGACACTGCTTGGGAGACTCTTCATGTCACATCCAAGAACAATCGCTACATATTAGTCCAGTTTGCTGCTGTAGCCACTGCTAAGTCCATGGAATCAGGCTGAGTAGATCTGAAGCCCTCTTTCCATGTTTTTCTCAAGTAAATTTGATAAATGCTTTGGCTGAGAGTTCACAGAGCTTGAAATGCTCAGAAAGAAAATCTAACCCCTGAGTGCAAGGGGTTGTGCAGTTTGGGTACAAATGGCATTTACCCTGTTTCTTTGGGATGCATCCTAAGGCTAGTGTAGAGCATGAGTTGCAGTCACTTCTGGATCAGCTGTAGGGCTTTTATCAACAGGTACGTGCTAGCCCCAGGACAGGGCACCCACTTGGAAATGCTGGGGATCTGGCATATGTGTTAGCAGGGCAAACAACTTGTTGAATGTGATAATAATAGAGAGTAACATGGGTCATACAGTAACTGCACAAAAGCCATGATCTCTTGCCAGAGCAAATGGGATTTTGGACTAGGGCATGCTAGTGATAGTCTCCTGGGTATGCCACGACTTCTTACATGAGTAAGTATTGCGATGTTTTTAAAATTTATTTCAGTTTCCTGTAATAAAAATTTATGGTTTTTGAAGATCATGTTGTACTGTGTAAACATTAGGTAAGATTATGGCTGAACAATTTTATGAGCAAAAAAGCACCGAAATATATAGCATAACCAAATAAAGAAAATGTTTTAGGCATTTTTACCAGGGGGGCAAGTTTGAACTACTCATGCAAAATTTGAAAGCAATTCTGCTTGTTCTAATGACTTTTTCTGTCATTATTTGTTAAAATCTCTTGTGTTATGCCCATGTTGGAAGGCAGTAAACAATTATACACTGGGTAGGGCACCAAAAGTATGTTTCTATGGCATTCTTTTAAATCCAAATTACTTCTGATGTTTTTTCATATTAAACATAAGAAGAAATTTTAACCACTTCAAACACTATCTTAGTTACTTGGAAGTACTGGAATTTGTCCTTGAGTAAGAATTGCTGCTAGCCCTGGGCTGCTTGTTCGTTTCCTTGAAGGTAAACAAGATTTCTTTTCAGGATTATCTTACACGGCTTTCTGAACCAAATGTGTCTAAGCTGCTTCTGCTGATATCTTGTCATAAGGATGTCAGAGTCTCATTTGCTTGAACAAGCATTTAGATGATGAATGTATATCTTCAAAATAATCTGTTCAGTAAACTTTCTGTAAAATGTCAAAACAAAACAAGATGTCAGTTGGCCTAGGACATACCACAGTAGGAAGAGCATGTCTTGTTTGCGTGCTGGGGTCTTCTGCAATAGAAGCCATTTCTATGTCTCAAAAGCCATCATTGGTAATAAATGTACATTCTCTGGCTGTTGAAATTTTTTGTTCTGGGAATAAAGACCTCATGTTAACTTAGTATTTCTACCTGATTTGACACCTTCTTGCTCATGATGAACAATATTCTTTTCCTGAGACTTGTCCTAGGCAAGATTGAAAAGTTGTGGGGAAAGCTATGGTAGAGTGTGATAGGGTGGTGGCAGGAACGGTGTTCGCTCTGCTTGAGGATGACCGCTACCATTTGTGAGCTGCCCAGGACTCTCTTATATGAACGAGCTTCTTTCCTTCTGAACCCATATTCCGATGGCAGTAAGAGGGTAGCTGTTTGCTGTCACGGAAATTCTCTCTAGATAATTAAATTTGGGAGTGTCTGCAGGGTGTTACACTTGGTGAGAACTCGGTGTATGGGTTCATCTTTGTCTGTGTCGCAAAGCCTTTCTCCTTTCCAGACAGAGAGGATGAGATGGGAGGATGATAACACGGAGACTTTGCTATTTGTTGGGAAATGCTTTCTTCTGTTTCCACTCTCAGAAAGTTTAAATTTGCACTAGCAAATAATTGATGAAAAAGTTACTTACATGTGAGTTCTTTAGGTGTTGAGTTTTTGTGGATTTTTTTTTTTAATGTTTAGTCTAAAGTTTTAGATATAAGCCAGACCCTGTTAAATAAAAGGCACTAAGAAAAAGACTTACGTGGAACTAAGGTCTAAATTGAGTCTCAGTTAACTACCATCACTACAAGAATTATTAACTTAGTCTTTGCTTTTTAACTCCCTCCTTAATTTGCATCCTTGGTTCTCCTCTGGAGAGAGAGGGGTGTTAAATCATTTGTGTGCTACTTGCCTTTGGCTACTTTAGCCACGTGCAAGATACTTTTCAGTTAGGGCTGTGCCAGTTCCATATTCTGAATGCACATACATTTACATTTGGCTTATTTTAAAACTGTTTTTTCTTATTCTTAATCTGCAAGCTCCTGTGCCACTATTAAAGGCAGTTTACTGTCAGAAATTACCTACTAAGAGAAGCACAAATTTGGACTAACTGAAGTCACCATAGGCTAAGGCAGTGCTAACATGAAGCAATGCAACTCTGTTATTAGTTTTTAAAAATAATAACTGTATGGGTATCTGGGTGATATTCTAATGAATATATCTATTTATTAGAAATGCCTACCAGATGGGACCTCACGGGTTGCAATTTTGTTATGAATTCACCTATGAATGAGTAAGCACATGGTGCATCACACAGACCTGGAAGCATCTTATTTTTTTGTTTCCAAATCTGCTACTTGCTATTCCAGTGCTTTTTCCTGCTGGAGAACAAATGCACTTGGCATGCTTGGCATGCTTTCTGTACTGCCACTGTCTGAGTTCTGGTGGAGGTCAAGAGTTACATTTGAAGTGCACTTAAATAGGAATATGTATACTTGTAATATTCTGAATTGAGCTGCTGCTGGTTAATGACAAGGGTAGATGACTGTTTGTGTGTTTAATTGTGGTGCATGCAGATGCACCACCAGATTAAGCTGTCCTGCACAGGTACCCACTTCTCATGCACTCAAATAAGCCGTAGTTGCAGAGTGTCTCCTTGAAAAATCATTGCCAGAGCTGGCACAGCAGTGCAGACTTATTGCTTTCACCCCAACTATCTTCATCCTCAGAATTAATGAAAAGAATGAAAGCCAAGAAACCTCATCACTCACCCATCTGCTCCTTTTTCTCTCCTGTCTCTGACCTTTTTCATATCTTACAAGACAATTCATGTTTCAGTTAGCTGGCACTCTCCTAGAGAGGAGGCTCTCTTCCTACCACAGTCAAGGTTAGAGACTCATGTTCTTTTGCAAGAATTACTGGGAAATAGCGATACTCTGTGTGGAAGAATTTATTTAAACCTGGAAGAGTTTAAAGTTCAGCTTCTTCCAGTGCCATCACAAACTATTTTTTATATTTTCTCTTTCAGGGGATGCTGACATTATTTCATGCTAAAGTCACCAGAAATTATCCAGGGCTTACAGAGGGCTCATACACATCTTGTAATAGCTGCTGACTCTCCTAGCTTTTTTTTTTTTTAAATATGTATTGTAGTTTTGAAAAAATCAAATACAAAGGTAACATGAAGCATTTTAAGACCAATTGAGGCAATAGATAAAATACTGAGGTAAGAGATTTTAGCAGGAAGTGTTGGGTTAGGAGAGGCACTATGGTTCATCACCTGTGGAATGAGATGATTACTGTGTCTGATTCTCAGTGCTTTCTGTAGCTGTTCAATATTACTTGTTTGCACAGTGGGTTGTTTGCAGTGCTCTGTTTGACAGCTAAGCTGCATTTATCCCCAAAGTCTCTGCTTGACATTCCTTCATAGTGCTACTTCTGTCAGCAATGTCCAAACCACGTTCCCAAACACAGTCACCGTTCTGTGTTACAATGAGATTTCTTATGCTCCACCCATAGGACTGACTCTCCAGCATGACTGAACTAAAAGCAGATAGTTTAGGGTCTCTCTCTCCAACACAGCCATTTCTGAAATTTAATGCTGATAAGTATTTGGAATTCCTCTCACAATATGTGACGTTCTTGTTGCCTGTCATACCAATTGCTAGTGACTATCAGGGCTAATTGTCCCAAAAATCTTGTTGAGTTTGACACTATAATTCTTTTTCTATTATGTATGTGACAAAGGTAATGGTGGTGATAAGACATTTAACAATAATAAGTATAGATAATGCAGTGGATTCTGGTGGTATTTTAAGATTGGGGAAGCTTTCCCTTTCTGTTTTTAAGGTATAATATTTTTTCTGTTTACTCCATCTTGATTATTCATGAGACATAGAACAGCTTCTTCACAGTGTCAGGTCCCTGGGGCTCTCCAGGGAGACTGATTGCCAATCATTGAGCTCACAGGCTAAAAGCAAAATGTAAAGATGTTTTAGCTCATCATGCTGTGGGCGAATGGGGAAGAGGGTTGCTGTCTCTTTCTGTTGCCTCAAAATATTTTAGTTGAGAAGTATCCAAATACTGTTGTGCTTGGTGTCCAAAAGTGTGCCCAAGTATCTGTATCCATATAGTGTTTTAGTACATGTATGTGTATGTCCAGGATGGCTTGACAAGAGTCCATGTGCTTACATTAGCTTATAGGGAGGTTTTCAGATTTCTGTTGTCATAATGGTTCTCTCTTGATAATACTGTATGTTAAAGGAGATATAACACAACAATGTTTCACACACAGAAACACATGCCCAGGAGAGGCAGCTCATAAAAGACCATAAGAAATTTTGTTTCTGTGTCAAGCATTTGAGTTTTCATTCATGTCCTCTCTTCTGCTTAAATCTACTTCTGAGGGATTGTACAAGAATTATTTCTATTTGACTGCAAACTGTGATCACCACACCTAATGTTCAAACAATATAGTACTTGAATACAGGAAATGGAACAATATATTCAATGTGACCTCCTCAAATATACGTGTTGTAGGTGTTACAGAATCAAGGTGTTAGTAACAATCAAGAAGATCCTTTGCAACGAAACTCGCTCAAAGCACACATCATTAGGTTCTTCTCCTGGATATCAGGAATGGACCGTTTTGAACATCTTCATAGAAGGCAATAAACGTATGTGCGCAAGAGCGCACAGGAGTGTTTGCATGTGTTATTGAAGCAAAGGCAGATGCAGTGTGGCGGCAGCATTCTGTGCAGGTCTGCAACATTTTAAATGGAGAATTTCACTTGAACTCATTCTTTTCTCTAAAAATGTGATTCATCCAGTAAAAGCATAAAATATACTTTGCTGACCCAGAGAATTGTATGATAACATCTTTATTATTATTGTATGATAAACTATCATTTGCCTGAACTGCTACAGTAGTATTTTTTTATTTCTTGTAACAAAGTCCACTGTGTGAGGGACTACAAACAATTTTTCAAATTCCTGTTTTCAAAAATGGAAAAATCTTTTTTAGGATGATCACTGTTTTTTGATATTTTTAACTGTATTTATAAGAGCAGAACAAAAAATAATTTAAATATTTAATTTAAATATTTAATTATATTATGAAAACTGCAAACAACAAAAAAGTTGTCACGGATTTTTTTCAATGCCTTAACATTGTATAATTGCTTATAAACAGAAATTAATTAAAATCTTAACAAAAGATAGACAGTTATGGATCTTTTCCTGCCAGAAGCCTGCACTCAAGGCTTAGCCTTTAACTCTTACTTTTATGTTAGTGGTGTGAGAGCACAGTTATGAAGCATGCTTTGTTCACGTGATGCTGATACTGTCAAATTAGAATGAATAATAGAAGAACTGGCACGCCTGTCTGAAACTGCTGCGGTTGTGCAGACCCTCAGCATATTCTAATTCTTTTGAGTACGGTAGGAAAAATCATTTCTCATGGAGTTGGAGAAGCTGAGGTCTTGTGCATGGTTTTTTGCTTGTCTCTTGCATCTGTGTGAATCTGTATGCTGACGGTGGTTAGTATCTCACACTGAACTTTGTCACAGTAAATCTAAATGGAAGTAGAAGAGCATAGTAAGAGAGCTGAAATGCAGTTATTCAAGAAGAATGCTGTTTAATTTTTTGTGCAAAGAGTCTCAACAAGGCTTATTTGTAGTTTTGCCTGAAATGATAACGTATGAAAAAGCATGAATACCCAGACAGTTGCATGAATCTGTGTTGGTGATTCTTGCCATCAGCAAGTAATTAGTTTTGACCTACTTATGAATCACCCTGCTGAGTCCATTGGAAATGAATTGACACGTCTTCACTAGGGTCCAAATCGATAGCTCTGCGATTGGTAGCTTAGCAGATCTCTCTGAGGGTTTACTGAGGAAAGGGGATTTTCTTCTGTGTTATTATATCCCATGGTCTGCATGTCCTTCCAAGGATGGTGACCTGCTCATTTTGGAAGTATAGCTGGCAGGAGTGTGAACCACAGTTATTCGGTCCTGAATTAACGCTACATGAAAAAGCATTTGGTTCTCTGTGTCACAGACAATCTGTGTCACTTGGAGAAAGAGGTAGCACATAGCAGGACTTGAAAGAATTGATTGGAATAAATAATGAGGATTTTTTTCCTCTGATTCATCATTTTTAAACCATCTTACTTATCAACAAAGTGAATAAATTTAAACTGATGCTAGTTTAATCTGACAGAAAAGTTTTCAGGTCTAAATAGGGAAAAAAGAAAGTAAATGCTGTGAAGAAAATCTCATAATAGCCTTGCTGCAACTCCAGAGTAACTGAGGTTACTACAGGCCGGTCAGCCTCACCTCCATCCCGGGAAAGATGATGGAGCATCTCATTCTAGAGGTCATCATCAAGCAAGTGGAGGAAAAGAAGGTTATCAGGAGTAGTCAGCATGGATTCCCCAAGGGGAAATCATGCCTGACCAATCTGATAGCTTTCTACGATGGCATGACTGGCTGGGTAGATGAGGGGAGAGCAGTGGATGTTGTCTACCTCGACATCAGCAAGGCTTTCAACACGGTCTCCCATAACATCCTCCTAGGGAAGCTCAGGAAGTGTGGGCTGGATGAGTGGTCGGTGAGGTGGATTGAGAACTGGCTGAATGGCAGAACTCAGAGGGTTGTCATCAGCAGCGCTGAGTCTAGTTGGAGGCCTGTAACTAGTGGTGTCCCTCAGGGGTCAGTACTGGGCCCAGTCTTACTCAACTTCTTCATCAACGACCTGGATGAAGAGTTAGAGTGTACCCTCAGCAAGTTTGCTGATGACACAAAACTGGAAGGAGTGGTGGATACAGCAGAAGGCTGTGCTGCCATTCAGCGTGACCTGGACAGGCTGGAGAGTTGGGCAGAGAGGAACCTGGTGAAGTTCAGCAAGGGCAAGTGCAGGGTCCTGCACCTGGGGAGGAACAACCCCATGCATCAGTACAGGCTTGGGG